GCACTAACCTTTTTTGTAACTTAATTAGCAACATTTTGTTTCGAATCGATCACAGGTGTATATTAATTAATCAGTTCATGATTTATCATTTCATATAGTATTTGCGATTAGTAATCGTTAGTAGTATTTCTGCTAGCCCAACTTTGTCGATTTTTTCCCACCCTAGCAATTGATTTGGCTGTCTGCTTAGAGGCTATGACAATAGTCATTACTTATTTGTTTTAGAGAAATCATGGCCTGTTGGAACAATGATTGTAATTTGAGTTTTTGAAAGAATTTTCTTGTATTGATATATAGTACTGGCCTAATTTTTGATTTACATTGTAATCAGCAAGTAGCACTTATGATAAACAGTAGCATCATGCGTAGGTTGTCCATTTAATACTTTCAAATTCTGCACTGTTAGTAGGTGTATCACGAAAGCGGAAGAGAGAATACCCATAGTTGTTTTATGCCTGATGACAGACAATGTATTCTCTAATAGAACAATAACACCCATGTGTTATGAGATTTGAGAAAAAAAAAATAATGCACAGGAGGGCGTTATTACGCACAAATATGGTGAATTGTTTTTAGTGGAATAAATCCTGGACAAATCCTAAACTTCAAAAAACAATTGCCATTTATATAATTAGAAAAGTGCATACGTACCATTTGATTAAATAAAGATTATTAATAAATTTTTGAGATATTAGTAGGCCAGAGTTTGGGATTTGAGCGTAAACAAAAGTTGTATGTGTAACTTTTATAGTCTTAACTGATTTTAATGACTTTACCATTGAACCACAAATTTTTGTTAGAAGTTCCAAAAAATTAAAAAATTATTTAGGAAAAAGGAAAAGAATAATAACATAGCCGCCCATTTAACACGAATTGCCATTCAACAATTAAACTTAAGATAAAATATTTGCTACATTTATTTTACTAAATAAACTCAATATTTAAATTTATATCACAAAACAATGACCGAAACTCTCGCTAAAGACTAAGAAAAAATTGTGTTAACTGGTATAAAAAAAAAAACTAACATTAATCTGCTAAATCAAATGCTAAAGAGACATTAAAAAGTCCTAGAATACCAATTCGCTTTATAATAATTTCATGCCATTGACGGTTATAGGAAGCACAATAATTTTATGCCACTAATAGTAGTCCAGAATTCTGAAAAGTTTGAAACAAGAACAGTGCGCTGTAAATACAGGTTTGATAATTAAAATCAAATTCAAAAACCCAATAGCGGGATTTACCTTTTACGTATATATTAATATGTTCAAATTTCAATTCGGATTCTTCAACTATACAATTTCAGTAATTTCATATGACAGTTTTCAAATTTCCAAAAAAAAAAAAAAAAGAAAGAAAAAAAAAAAAACCTGCTAACAGGCAAAAAAAAAAAAAAAAAAAAAAGGACTAATAACCCTGTTATTAATCATAAACAGGGAAAAAAAAATCAGTGATAGACTTTTGTTTCAGCAATTTAATATATTTTCTTTTGATTAATGGTAAGTATTTTCTAAAAACTTTAAGATCCTCCATATTAAAGTCACAACTCTCTTGTTGCTCAAAAAAACCAATGAACTTTGTTAGTCCATTTAAGCCTTCTGTAATAGGGATTTCAGGCGGTTCCTCGTCAGTATCATTTGCATCACCTTCTTCGAATTCCTGTTGCTCATCCAACACAATGTTAACAATTTCCTCTTCATTGAGAAGATCTTCAGTAAGTATTTGAGAATCATTCATGTTGTTGAATTCATTTAGTTGGCGTTCGATTGTTGGATCTGACAGATTTGTCGTTAGGTCTATGATTAATTCATCAACTTCATCCTTTTCTATATCTTCTAGGTCTTGAACGGCATAAGTAGAATCGTCAATTTCAGTATCTGATAATAAAGGAAGAATTTCCGTTTTTTTCTAGCAATTCATGATGGTAGATTCTTCAACTTCATCCCATGATTCTGCAACATAATATATCACATCCCTGATGTTTAATTTATTTCTGCACAAAATAAAAAGAGTATCAGTAAAATTTTTTAATTTTATAGAACCAATTGGATTAAAATTAAAAATCTGGATATATAAATAACCTATTCGAAAGTAGACCTATATGAATTAACCCAAGAGCAAACTACAGTTTATTTCAAATAACTAAACCTTCTATTATAAATACAAAGTGCGTATGCACTTTAAAATTTCCACACTATAGCCTGTAGATGCTACCGTAATTCAAAAAGAAAATTTTAACAATGAAAATGATTAGTAATTATTGTCAAATTTTTTTTTTTTGAATTACGGCAGTATCTATTATAGCCATGCAACAAGCCCGGCTTCTGTATATACACCACATTTATGCAATTAAGCATCTATACGAATTTCATAAGAAAGGCAAATATGATATATTTACCCAGTATGACAAATAAAAGTGGATGAGTAATGCACGTGATTTTGATTTCTTATGTAAAAAATCGCGGTGTAGTATGTAGAGGAAATCAGGTATTTTCTTACTTTCTTAAATCTT